AGTCTGTAAGTTTTTGTCCTGGTGCTATGCAGATTAAGACTTAGGCACGGCTTATACCACAGATATTGTTTTCTGGCATCATAAGTCTGTAAGTTTTTGTCCTGGTGCTATGCAGATTAAGACTTAGGCACGGCTTATACCACAGATATTGTTTTCTGGCATCATAAGTCTGTAAGTTTTTGTCCTGGTGCTATGCAGATTAAGACTTAGGCACGGCTTATACCAAAGATATTGTTTTCTGGCATCATAAGTCTGTAAGTTTTTGTCCTGGTGCTATGCAGATTAAGACTTAGGCAGGGCTTATACCACAGATATTGTTTTCTGGCATCATAAGTCTGTAAGTATTTGTCCTGGTGCTATGCAGATTAAGACTTAGGCAAGGCTTATACCACAGATATTGTTTTCTGGCATCATAAGTCTGTAAGTTTTTGTCCTGGTGCTATGCAGATTAAGACTTAGGCAGGGCTTATACCACGTCCTTAGGGGGGATTTAGCCTTGAATAAACACGTAGAACTGAACTGAACCATCTTTGATCAAAGCTACACCTGTCTTATTTCATCTGTCCGGTTTTTTTTTTTATTACACCTACGCCCAGTTTTACAACTAGGTGTGGTTAGATGTTCACAAGATTTTCTAACCTAGAATAACTTTGAATAATGTAAATGTATACTTTTCACGAGTCAAACACTTTTCGTATAATGTACATGTATACTTTTTTTTCTTTTCTTTTGGCGAATAATACTGGATAATACTACAGTAATGTCCAGGTTGATTCTTAGTTTAGCTCTAGGGACATAGCTTTAACCTGATCGGAGGTTATTATTATTATTATTTCATGTTTATTTACTTTACTTCCGTTTAATAATAAACGTATCCCACTAGTGGTAAAGTTGACGTCGTCAAAGGTCCAAGTAGCTGTATGGCGACTCGTTCTAGTTTGTCATATTTTTGTGTACCAATACTTCTGTCGATAATGGCTTTTTAATCTGGTTTCTCACATTATCTGTACTCAAATGTATGAAAAGAAATGAACCGTATAAGTCGTGTTTATGACTAAGAGATTTCTAGCACAGTGTTCCAAAGCGTACTAGATAGATTTAAAATAAAAACGAATCCCACTTCTTTCGACTACCATAACAACATTTTCAACCTGAACGGCACTTTATGTGACACGTGGGCTAAATGGTCAGGTAAGAGACCCTCAAGGCCCAATCGTAGTCATCAAAATTTAAAACCACTGACGAGAGCGAGAGTAACCAGTCAGTAGCACCAGCCGCCCATACGACGTATCTTAACCGAATAGCGGAATTATCTTTCACGGTTATAATGGCCCAACGTCTCTAAAAATGCAGAGCGTATTTCGCGGCACATCGCGGCTCTAACCTTGGGCTTGTCGATCTGTAGGTCGTCAGATATGCAACAGGCCACGCCCGCCTACTCTAAGAACTCAAGGGATCAAAATGGATATTACATAATATCCTTATATCCCGATTAAACCCTTCTAAAGAACACGACAGTTTAATTGAAGCCCTATTTTCTGTAATCAGTAAAATGTAACAAACAAATGTGGTATTTAGGTTTGTATGACGTCTGATCGATGGTAACATTTATAAAGTGAAGTGAGACGATGGATAATTTTGACGTTCGATTTTTCGTGTTCTGTGTATAGGCAGTGGTCAGGAGATAACAGTGGTCAGGAGATACAGTGGTCAGGAGATATCGTATATAAATAGTTGGCGTAGCTGCGAATGGTTCCATAAGATGTGACTCGTCAGTTCTCAGAGCTAATTTCGACGAATGTTAATTTTTTACCAAGTTTTTCTCATAATTCATAATACCTTTCCTCCCCTCTTTAGGTTTTGGTTTTGTTACATTCGAAAATGAAGACGTTGTGGATAAAATTTGTGAAATTCATTTCCATGAAATTAACAACAAAATGGTGAGTGTTTATTTTGTCCATTTTTCTTCCTTTATTTAATCAGTTGATCACACTTTTACAGGTTACTATAGCTACGACGACTCAAACTACTGCTCGAGGTTATCATGATTAAGCACTTTATTCATCCGTGTTTATGTTACGTTCTTTATTGTTATTATTGAAACAACGTCCCATAAACAACGTTTATCAATTCATTTCTTATGTTGCCTGACTTGTTGGGAAACATTCCATAAACAATTTTTAATTCATCACCTATGTTGGCTGACTTGTTAAAAAACAAGATTCCATAAACGATGTTATTTATTTCATCTCCTCTGACAGAACAAAAAAAAAAAAAGAAACACAGTCGTTTTTCCATCATGTTGTCGTCCAGCTGACGTCTTCGCTTCAAGTCAGGTTCACATAAATTGAGCTTCGTTTATGTTATGAACCGGAAATTAGACAGCTTATAGATGGGACTATAGTAAAGGACAACGATTGGAAGAGAAACAATTAATAGAGGCGCGAGTCAAATGATAAATTGAAAATGATGCGTTAACGCTTCGATCATGTGACGTGACACAATATGTGTCACGAACCTCGGTATAATAACGTTGTACATTATCTTCTGACATGATATAGGTGTTGATCGAACTTTATAACGACGACTTGCATATGTTAACTCAGTGGCGTGGCCCCACAGATGTGAGTCGTAACGTCATGGATAGTTATAAAATCGTATAGCAACCTTTTCCGTAAAGAAAAAAAGGGAAAAAAACACGCCTACAGCAGAATGTAGAGCCAAGGACACAACCTTCAATATTCTCAGTGGAAACTCGTATGGCAGAGCGTTTCTTACAGCAATCGGCTTCAAAAACTACAATCCAACCAAGTCCTCAACAACGCCCTTCATCTGCAAAGTGGAGTTTGTGGCTACGAAAAAGAACCCTCCGACCCAAAAATCAATTGTGAGCTTAATTCCTGATACCGTTAACACGACAGTAGAAAATAAAAAATAAGTAAGTTGACCAAACTTGACAAATTTTTAGCCACATCTCAAAATCAACAGCTGTGTCTATGAAGCAAGTGGCCATAGAAACTGAAATCACGCCTGTATCATTCAGTCATTATACTGTTCAGTCCCTCGAATGGACTGCTTAAGCGTGAGTTTTCGACGTAAACGTCCACAAACAGAGGAGGGATCTTAAAACGTTTATCAAGATATGTTATCTAAGACTGAACTCGCTGTCCTTTGCATAAGCTTGTTGCAGTTGAAATTGCGGTGTCGTAATAGTGAATAAACATGGTTAACAGACTGAGCACGACTGACGATAGAGGAAGTATTTCCAAAGGAAGCACGAGACATGGAATACCACGAACCTCACTACACCAAAAGAATGGATTGATGTTATCAGAGAGAAGATGCGAATCGCGAATTTTATAATAGTACAGAATATATTAAAGTTACCTGACGTAATCATATAACAATAAAATGACTCTTCTAAAGTAATTAATATGATGAATTAATAAATTAATTAATATATATATCTATGTATCACATTACTCTCAATATATTAACATAATATATAAATATTTACCTTTACTGTACTAACGTAGTAAATTCGTGTTATGAAAAATGTTAGCCCTTGTGTCAGTGTGTTCAAATAATAATCTTCCGCCTTGGCTGGGTTGATTGCCAATTGTGATTTGTTGTACTGCTGTTCATTCTTTAGTGATAAGATTTTTTAAACTGAAAAACGATTCTGTGAACGTTCTGAACAGACAACAACCAGGGTGCGAATTTCTATCATTATGACATTTAAGCTGATAGTTATCTAATTAACGGTTATATATGTATATTATATCAGTAAGATATTTAAACCTTAACATGGTTGTTCTCTATGTTTAGTAGTAAAATTATATTTTTTTGCGCTAGATTTTAGAGGAGTAATTACTAACGCCAAAGAGCTAAATTGTTAAATAAAGATGTGAGTAGTCTTTGATTTAGTCTTAGAAATATAACGTATTTAAATGTGTATAGGTTGAATGTAAAAAAGCCCAGCCGAAAGAAGTTATGATGCCGAATGCCCTTGTCCGTGGGAGAGGAACAGGCAGAGGGGCCTTTGGTAAGCTGGTATTTGATACAAAAACTTAATTTTATAATATTGGCTTCTCACTCAACATAATCTAGAAAGTTTCGTTAAGGTAGTATTTGGCCTGATTTTAATTTATTATAATTTGTATTGCTTTTAAAAGGCAACCATTCACAGGAGATGAACTGAAGAATCAGTATCGGTTTTAGGCTTAAGAAAATCCATTCTGCGAAAACAGTTCAGTATGATTAAAACAATGTTTGACTACTTTATGTCTGCTAAAAACACACATTGAGTTAGTTTTAAGTCTATGGGCTACATCTGGAATGACCGTTACTCTTATAATGCACCATGGTCCCAAGATATGTGGTGTGTTTTTGTAGTAAACGGCTGGAAACAGTTCGAGTGTGCTAACCAACAGGCTGTGCCCATACCCCAATGTAACAGTTGTAAACTTAGAATACAACTTTTATATTTTAAAGACAATTTGTCCGAATAGAGTACGCTGATACTAAGCCTTTTTCAGTTTAAAATTAACCCTGTTCTTTTTTTCTTTCTCTGATATAGAAACACGAGTATCGAATGTTGTTTATCAAAACACTTCAGTTTTGAGTCCATATATTAAAACTATTGAAAAGTATATTAGACCTAAGGTTTCGCGTTGATTTAACAGCTGTATTTAGTTATTTCACCACCTGATACCCTTACCCGTTTTTTCTTCAAGAGATCGTTAAGTGTGCGAAGTGAGTTGCTCTGAGCCTTTTTGAGCGGGAAAATCTCCTCTTTCGAAATGGATATTTCTTGATTTTTGTGTAACACGCGAGAACACAGTAGAAGAAAAGCGTGAAAGAAGAAGAATGTGTTTAGTGACTCCAAGAAGTAGGCTTAGCTTAAATTACTCAGTACACGTGATCAATAATACTTTTTATGGCATCAGAAAGTAGGCTTCCTTCCTTCAATGCATGTATTTTATATGATTATAACAATGCAAGGCTATCAACACGCACGCACTGAGCGGAAGGCTCACTCGTCTGGGCCTGTTCTCACGCTCATAGGCACTAGTAAAAAAAATCTTACGTTTTGGTTAAATTAGTAGCTTTCTATAACGTATTGTGGTCGTTTGACCGGCTTTATCTAGTCAAATTCAGAATTACAGAAAAATCGAGGGACATGCCCCCTGATCACCTAGAAGGCAACCGCTTTCAGCGTATTCCTAAAAGTTAACAGCCCTAACAATGTATGATTAAATTATAAGAAAACTTATTATTTCCGTGAGTGAGCACCTTTAATTATAATCCTTAGAATAACTAAAAAAAAAATTATTGTAAGAAAATATGGCCGATATAAAAATTTTAAAACATGAATCTACTATTCATTTCTCGTACTTAAAAAAAAACGAACTTGTTAATTTTAACGTAAGTATAACGTAGCATAGTTTAATAAGTGTTCAGTTCAGACTCACGATTATTAATATGTTTTGACACTCTTCGTCCACTTCCAGACCTTGTTTGGCCACTTGGAGCCCTAACTGATGGTAAGTGTCCACTCAGTTCTCAGTTGTACGAAACTAGTTCCCATTATTTCCTGTAAACAACTGATTCTATTTTCCACCTGCTTTTCCTTTCCTTCTACGTGATTCATTATATTCCTGTGTGTACTTGTAAATGTAATGTAAACATCTGTTCACATTGGATTGAAATCAAATTAAATTCAATTTTAATGCAACGTTTATCCACACGCACACACAGTCTTAGTAAACAGTAGCTACAAAATGTGTTGCATTTATCTCAGTAAAATTTCAAAACCAAAAAAGATCACTACACGTTGTTATTTAATCAAGTTGGATTGAATTAAGTGTTGGTTTTGGTTTAGATTCTGACGTCCTGTGTACCCCCCTGTCTTCAGTAGGGTTCCCGGCCTATAGCTACGGACGGGCAAGTTACCCAGGATACCCAGGTTTTGGCCACTTGTTTGCAGGTATGAATTTTAACATGTATCAATTGTGTGTCCCATTCCCTTTTGACCTTGTCACTGTTTAATTTCGCTTGTCCCTCGCCTGTAATCCAATGTATGCAAATATCTTGAACCCTAACTCGTCTTATATTGATCGCATTTTTTTGGACATGACAACATTAAAACTTTCAAATTGTTTTTATTTTTCTCTTTAAGTTTGTTTTTTCGAGTGAAAACGTGATGAAGGAATAATCGTAATTAAGAAAAGTTATTGATTAAGTCTGGATATTCATATCAGTAAAAAAAAACAAAAAATACGAGGTTATTGATCGTACGAGAACAAAAGGAGTACAGGGAGGAATAATGTGATAAGCTCTTAAACTAGGCTGTTGAAGGATGGGAAGTGATAATTCTTCATGATTGTACTAGGATGATAACATAAGACACATGAAAATGTTTGTATGTGTTTATTTAAAGTCAAATACAGTTCTCGGTTAAGCCTAAATTTGATATTAAGTAATGTAGTTTTAACGAGATTTACTTAATAATAGATGTGAACGATTTCGTAGGAGAAAGCTATTAGTAAAGTAAATGTCAGGTTAATTATTATTATATAAAATACTATTACACGCAACCAGGCCAGTCGGCAACGCGGGGGGACCTAATCCCCCTAAAAACTATATTCCCTGTTGTGCCCCCAAATAGATATGTGAATATAGTGGTGTAAAAAGTAGTTTGAAAACAGCACACGGATGGAGAAGCTGAAAATTAGCATTTTTAGATGCTTGTGTAGCTCCTTCGTCAATATTAAATTTTATTTTCTTTCTTAAGTCGTTGTTTGTTTGTTTGTTTTTGAATTTCACGCAAAGCTACACGAGCTAGCCGTCCCTAATTTAGCAGTGTAAGACTAAAGGGAAGGCAGCTAGTCATCACCACCCACCACCAACTTTGGGCTACTCTTTTACCAACGAATAGTGGGATTGACCGTCACATTATAACGCCCCCACGGCTGAAAGGGCGAGCATGTTTGGTGTGAGAAGGATTCGAACCCGCGACCCTCAGATTGCGAGTCGAGCGCCCGAACTACCTGGCCATGCTTAAGTCGTTGTATTAATTCAGCCTCATTGTCGTCGTCCCCCCCCTTCCGATTAGGAAAGCTGAAGCCAGGTCTAAATACAATACTGTTTCGTTATTGTAAGATACAATATTAGTTAAGTAAGTTTGGTTTCAAATTTGCGCAAAGCTGAACGAGGGCTATCTGCGCTAGCCGTCCCTAATTTAATATTGAACCTGTAAGTATTTATAAATTCGCAAAATGTGGCGAATAAAAAAAAATGATCGCTATGAACACAAAGTGACAAAAATTACAATTTTGAACAATCAGGTTCAGGAGACAGGTTTTTAAAAACAAAAACTTGAGGTTTTTCTGGTTTGAATTTCGCGCAAAGCTACACGAGGGCTATCTGCTCTAGCCGTCCCTAATTTAGCAGTGAAAGACTAGAGGGAAGGCAGCTAGTCATCATCACCCACCGCCAACTCCTGGGCTACCATTTTATCAACGAATAATGGGTTTGACCGTCACATTATAACGCCCCCACGGCTGAACGGGCGAGCATGTTTGGTGGGACGGGAATTCGAACCCGCGAACCTCAGATTGCGAGTCGAGCGCCCCTTAGCCACCATTCCAGTTAAGTAAGTACATGCTGTCCATTTGCACTGCCAATGTTGTGTGAAGAAGAAGAACATTTTATATTAGTTTTTTTGGACACATACATATATATATATACATAACTATATAACCAGTGTTAGGATAAAATACATAATGTCGGATTATTAATTCGAACCCCCATAAAGTTGATTTGTAAATGACTTCAATGAAAGTGATAATAATTACAATTGACTTGCTTAATCTGATTTATACTATAATAGTTGATATCCTTTTAAAATTGATAATATACACGGCGTCTAAACCAATACTGTCTTTCGTACCCCATCCGGCCTTATGATTCCTGTTATTAGGAGAAAATCCTCGTCGAGACTGGATATATATCATGTTTTCCTTTGCTTTCACTCATGTATTATAAGGAATAATAGCTTAGATTTATATTCATACACCTGAACTGACAGCTTGTTATATTTTTGAGTGAACAAGTTAAAACAATGTTATGTTTATTGATTTAATTTTTTTATCACCTTGGTTCTTTTACTAGTCATAATAAGCTTGTACTGATAACTTTTTTTTGTCCATTTTAAAGTGTAAAATGACTTTAGCTTAATGTGGAAATTAGATGTTTATCGTTTAATTGAAATATCTTTTTAAAACTTCGCCGATAATATGCTGTCGAGTTAGTAATTTATCAAAACATTTGGAAAATTTTCAATTTCTCTATCTACTATTAGGCCTAACTCATATAATAAATATTCCTTTAAAATATGAAGTTTGATTGATGAAAATTTTTTAAGAAGAGCTTCACGATACAAACAACATTCAAAATATGAAATTTTTTGTTGTTGTTGTTGTTTTAAACTGTAAACTAAAATAAGAAATGAAACGTATTGTTCATTTACTTGTTCTCCAAATCGAAGTGAACTTACCTTAACACGATACAGTAGTGGAATAAGTTCGAAATTATATTTCTACAGACTCTAATATAGGCCTGATAATGTTGTAAACACTTTGTGTCATTGGCTATATGGATATTAAAACATTAATGCTTTGTAAGGGTATTTTTCTCGAGTACAATTTTTTTTTCCCCAAAGAGGCCCGAGAGCGTAGAGATAAGCCTTTGACCTATATCAGGACAAGAAATATTATGATTTTAATATCACTATAAAATACAAAAGATGGGTAAAAAATATACATAATAATAACAATTGTTATGTTTTTCAGTCTTGGATAGTGCATTCTTTTGAACCATTAGCGTCTGCGTTGTTAAAAGATGTAACTGTAGCTTAACAAATTTACTACATAAATAATTAGGACTAATGTAATATTACATCACCTAGTCACTTGCCTACTTTTAACATAAACATATTTTTTTCTCGCGGTTCTTTTACTTTTGCTTGTGGTTAAATGTTATGAACAAACTCACAAATTAATATTTAAATCTATGGTAGTAGCAGAAGTACAATGTTACAGTTTAGTTGTTTTTTTTAAGTCAGCTAACTCTTAATTTTACTTTACTGAGTCATGGACCTAAAGTCAAATATGTAGAATTATACACCAACTTTTCTCTACGTTAAAATACTTTTATTTGCGAGCTTTCGGCCCTCTTACCAGAGCCTTCATCGGCTAATAATGTACCGAAGTTAGGCCTAATAAGAAATTGTACAAGTCTATCAGTTATTGACTTAGAACCGTAACTTGCATATTTTCAAAATTATTTCTAGGCTTCATCATATGAGCAAAGTCTACAAATTTCTAAGAAGTGAATTGCATAAACGTTTTGCTTATTTGCCCTTTTTTTACTCTAAAATATTCTGTACACTGAAAAGCTATCGTGACCCAGATCACACCTTTTATGGCGTTCTGTTCCAAAACATTCTTTTTGCAAAAATCTGGTGTTTATTTTTATTATCTGTTATTTTTTTTTGTGTTATATGTCCTTTTCAAAATCAATTTATTCGACATATTTTCTGACCATTTTTAATTCAAACACATAACAAATTACTTTAATAAGCTTGGAGCAGTAACAAACAGAATCTATTAAATTCGAGTGAGATGGAAATTAAATCTGTATAAAAACCAGTGTGTGTCACATCACGCTCGATTTCTCGACGGGAGGTGCCGTGAAACCTTATAAGTGTTGTGAGTGTTGGTATAATAAGTCTAAAGTAAAGATGTAGTGTA